GTACTAATGAATCCATCACCCAGGTAATACACATAGTACCCAACAGGTAGTTTTTTCAAACTTTCCCCGTCTTTCTCTCTCTGCCCTCTTGTATTCCTCAGTTTCTATTGCTCCCATTTTTATAACCATATGTACCCAATATTTAGTTCCCACTTCTAAGTGAGAACAGAAGCATCACTCTTGACAACTAACTCTCTTACTGATTTCCCAACTGAAATCCATTATTAAGACCTATTGATTTAGGTTCCCAATTATCTCTCAAATCTGTTCACTTATCTCTATCATCGTTCCCTCCATACTGGTCCACTCTACTGTTATTTTTTGCCTATATAGTCTTGTATTAGGCTCTCGACTCTGGTACCTCTCTGATACACTCTTCACATTGTTGTCAGGATAATCTTTTCAAAAACACTTACTAATCACCGATTCTAAGCTAGATATACTGCCATGGGTCCCTGGACAGCCAGAACACTCCCAAGGGCAGAAACAACAAAGAAAATGCCTTAATGGAAAAGTGTTGAGGCCAGGCGCGGTGGCTCAGGCCTGTAATCCCAGCACTTTGGGAGACCGAGGCAGGCGGATCACGAGGTCGGGAGATCAAGACCATCCTGGCTAACACAGTGAAACCCCATCTCTACTAAAAAATACAAAAAAATTAGCTGGGCATGGTGGCAGGCGCCTGTAGTCCCAGTTACTCGGGAGACTGAGGCAGGAGAATGGTGTGAACCCGGGAGGCAGAGCTTGCAGTGAGCCGAGATCGCGCCACTGCACTCCAGCCTGGGCGACAGAGCGAGACTCCATCTCAAAAAAAAAAAAAAAAGAAGAGAAGTGTCTTCACCAGGCTATTCATTGCCTCTGCCCTAAACATTCTTAAAGGCCACCATTTGGGGATGGATGAGTGGTCCTTGATCAACTTGCTGATTTGGAGGATTTTTATAACTTTTCATACTTTTACATTACTTTTTAATGTAATATGTGCTCATGTTTAGAAAATTTGGAAAATGCATATATTTTTAAAAGAGCAAGAAAAAGCATTTCTAATTCCATCATCCAGAAATTTTGGCTTATTTCTTTCAAACGTTTGCCTCATGCTTTTAAAACCTTATTAAGATCATTCTGTATATTAATGCGGTTTTCTATTTCGCTTTTTGTGCTTAAGGTTATAAGATTTTTTCCATATCATTAAAAACTCTATGTAAATATCATTTTAATAGCTGCTTAACATTCTATGATATTAGAAATTTCATTTTGAAATTTGTCTTTTGCCCAGTGTCTAAACGAATAATTTTACTTTTGATGGAGGTAGGTGGTGGCGGTGGGAGGTCTATCTCCATGGCTTGATGATACTCAAAGGTTGCTGTTTAAATATGTTACAAAATTACATCTCTCTCTTTAGCTACAGCCTCAGTCCAAAAGGTAGCATCCAATCCGCTTGCTGATTCCAGCACTTTCTTTTTTTTTTTTTTTTTTTTTTTGAGACAGAGTCTAGCTCTGTTGCCCAGGCTGGAGTGCAATGGCCGGATCTCAGCTCACTGCAAGCCCCGCCTCCCGGGTTCACGCCATTCTCCTGCCTCAGCCTCCCGAGTAGCTGGGACTACAGGCGCCCGCCACCTCGCCCGGCTAATTTTTTTTGTATTTTAGTAGAGACGGGGTTTCACCGTGTTAGCCAGGATGGTCTCGATCTCCTGAACTCGTGATCCGCCCGTCTCGGCCTCCCAAGATTCCAGCACTTTCTAACAGTATTTACTCCTTGAGGCTTGTAAAGCTAAGGCACATTTGGTTTTCTAGTGGATAAGCCAGTAAAGCCTCTGGGATGTCATTTGGGTCAGACACCCTGAGAAAGGGGAAGAGAGGAAGGCAAGAAAACCCAGAGGAGCTGTGCTAAGTACGCAAACATGCATTTGGCCCTTAAAATACCCACACCTAGCTGCATATTTTTTCCTTACAATGTACAGTGATTAGTAATCCATAATTTATGGTTCTAATTAATTCTTCCCTTTATCATGGAGAGAGACTCACCCAAGCGTGCCACTCTGACAAAGCTCCAATACCAGGTTCCAGTGAAGCCCTGGATTTCCTTGCTGGGAACTCATTTGGCAAAACCCATTAAGCTGGCAAAAGATCCAGAGCACTAGAAAGGGAGGCACCCCATCCCCCTCTACCCACCATCACCCCATTCTACTTTATTCCAGGAAGAAACAGACTAACAGAAAACAAAGCTGACTGTGCCATTTAACTGAGACCACACCTCCTTCAGGAGAACCAGCTTGGGCCTGATAGTAAATAAAGCGTAATTGCAGCCAGAGCAAGATCACCAAACAGATATTCTAGACTTCTAGGCTTTGAGCCGGGTTCCCAACAGGAAGAGGCAAGAGTGTGAAAATCAAATCTCTTGCATGTAACACACCTCTCTGGCTCTCTTAGAACCTGCTGACCTGATTCAAGTGGATCCAAGTGTTTTAGAACTTTAAGGAAGGCTCTTGTTTATAATCTGGCTGGATCCCTGTGTAACCAAAGACTGAACATTTTCTGTCATTAGACAATGGGCCAAGGAGCCTGCTAGTCCGTACTCTACCTTTTTTGGTGAAGTATACTAGTTCATGTTTATTAAAGACTTATTGTATACCAGGGGTTTATTAATTTATTTAATGCTCACAGCAACTCACAGAGGTAGGTACTATTGTTAACTAGAGCAGACATTCCTGACAGCAGGGCCTTGGTTTGGTTCCCTGCTGTATCCCCATACCCTGAAACTGGTCTGGTGTAGAGTGGTACTCAATCAATATTTTTGTTCAATGGATGAATACTCATTTGACAGATGAGAAAACTGAGGCAGAGAACAAGTAAGCGACAAAGTGAAATCCAGAGCTCATGCTTTTTTTTTTTTTTTTTTTTTTTTTGAGACAGAGTCTTGCTCTGTCACCCAGGCTGGAGTACAGTGGTGAGATCTTGGCTCACTGCAAGCTTCGCCTCCCGGGTTCACACCATTCTCCTGCCTCAGCCTCCTGAGTAGCTGGGATTACAGGCACCCACCACCATACCCGGCTAATTTTTTGTAGTTTTAGTAGAGACAGGGTTTCACCGTGTTAATTACGATGGTCTCGATCTCCTGACCTGATCCACCCGCCTCAGCCTCCCAAAGTGCTGGGATTACAGGCGTGAGCCACCGCACCCGGCCGAGCTCATGCTTTCAAACATCACTTAATGGTGTGTGCATAATTTCTGCAGGAGTTTGATTTCATTTCCTTGTTTGCTGAGGGATAAATGCAACAAATGTCCTTAAGATTTGTTTTGTTTTTTGTTTTTTGTTTTTTTGAGATGGAGTTTCACTCTTGTTGCTTAGGCTGGAGTGCAATGGCACGATCTCATTTCACTGCAACCTCCGCCCCCTGGGTCCAAGCGATTCTCTTGCCTCAGCCTCCCAAGTAGCTGGAATGATAGGCGCCTGCCACCACACCCAGCTAATTTTTGTATTTTTAGTAGAGATAGGGTTTCACCATGTTGGCCAGGCTGGTCTCGAACTCCAGACCTCAGGTGATCCACCCGCCTCCGCCTCACAAAGTGCTGGGATTACAGGCATAAGCCACCACCCACGGCCCTCAAGATGTATTTTTGAGTTCAAGATGTAATATAGACACCAGATGTTAATTATCACTGGCACAAAGCGGGGCATTAGACAGGTGTAGCAGGTGATTGATAAAGGCATTGCCACTATTATATTGAAATGATCATGGCCTGCCTGTGGAGGAGACATTTATTTATTTTTCTACCCTGAGCAACCCTGAATGTTCTAAGTCCCCTTTCTTATGGCAAGCTTTGTTGGCCCTCAGACGCTTTCACTCATGGGCCAAAGAAAATGACCCAACTCTACAACCACAAGAACATATGCCCTTTATTACCACCTCGCCTTTGTTCCTTTACCATCTCAGCTTTGATTTAATTTGATTTCTTTCTGATCTGCAGATTGATGAAATCACTTCTCTTTTCTAAGCCTGCTTGAGCCCCAGACTGTAGCCTGGTGGGCCACGTGAGAGCAGCGCCCGCAACCACAGCTGAGAGAGGTGTTATTTACATATTTATTAGAAATTCTGTCCTGCTGGCAAGAGACGCTCACTTCTGACTTTAATTCCGATAAGTAAACAACCCCATTGGCAAGAAAGAGGGGGGAAAACAAACCAGAGTAGTTTGCACAAGATAATATAGTAAAGCAGAAAAACATCCGTAATGCAAAACCATTTGCAGTGCAAAGCAAAAGAGAGAGAGAAAAAAAAATTCCATCTCCAAAGCCTAGCTTAGGTTAAATACTCTAAAAGAAATAATTACAAAGTAATTCAATTATATTTGGTATCAGTTGCCTCACAGGCCAGTGGAATGACAATTAATCCCAGGGTGTCTTTTTAAAAAAATTTTAATATTTGTGGTTTGTTCAGAATTACCCTCCAGCAGTTAACTGCACTCAGCAATCCTCTGGCTGATTGTGTCTCTCTTCTCATCCTCATCTATTCTGGCCTGATAACACCCCATACCAGGGAGCCGTTCTGCCAAGTTCAACCTTCTCTGACCCGTCTCTCAAACTGTCCAGCATCCTAACATTTTGCTTAGGTGCCCTCCTGCTTCCCCTTAATTCTATTGCATTGTGAGAATTGCAACAGGGGGAGAGTTTAGCATCCTACAGCTTTCTCCTAACATCCAAAATTGAGCCAACATCATCATCCCTGTGACAACACAATGAACTAAATCCTTTTCAGCATCGCATGTCTAGCTATCCTCAGAAAAAAATTACATTTTAGGAACATTAAAATGGACTGACTTTAATCCACAATAGCAAAAGAGGCAAGAGATAGAGCTTAAATCCTGCCTGATGTTCTGACCTGAACTTATTTTGCAGATAAAATCACACTGAATTCTTTGCATTTCTATAGCTTCTTTCAGTCAGGGATTGCAAGGTACTTTACACACAGTAATAAGCTTCACAACCTTTCTTTGATGCTGCTTTCTAGCTCCTGGAAGGGTTCATGCATCAGAAAACTGGAAAATGATGGATGGAAAGGGAATGGACCAGGCAACCTCCCCAGTTGACCATGGTGGAGAAAAGAGAACTCAAACAGTTGGCTGCAGCACTCAACACCAATGATCAAGAAAATAATTGTACTTCTAAACTGCAAACATGCTTATAAAAATTCAAAATAAGAAATTGTAATACGAGCATTGTGCTTTGTTCTTCAGTGATTCAGCTGATCAAAGCTGATTGGATTCAGCTGAACCCAATAACTTACAGTGAAAATTATTTCTGTTATTCGACACACAGCGACCTTTATGTTCATGAAACAGGCATGTTCTCAACAATGGGATGTTACCAAAATCTTATTACTGGATATAGAAATAATAAAGAGGTATGTTATAAACCAGATAAGTTTGTTCATAGGATAAAAAAATGCCATTGAATGCTAACTAAATATAGTACCTGCAGGTAATTCAGTGCCTATTATGGGACAGATGTTGTGCTAAGCTCTTTCTGTGCATTAACTAATACTCCCAGTAGCATGATACAGCTGTTGATTTCATTTTCCAGACGGGCACAGAGAGTTTGAACAACTTTCCCAAGTTTGCACAACCAGTATCAGAGCTAGGATTCTAATCCAGCTGGTTTGACCCCAGAATCCGTACTGAGTGTTCTCTAACATAATAGAGAACATGAAATATACGTCTTGGAGTACTTAGGGTAGGAGAGGAAACACATGGCAGTGGCTGGGAAATCTTAATCTTAGACACAGAAGTGGCCCCAGTTCTTGGAAGAAATGTTTGCTGGACCTTCAACCTCCTTTACTTCCAATAGAGGAGAACCAGTGTCATGCATGTAGTGCGTGGAAGTGGAGGAGACGTTTATTTATTTTTCTGCCCTGAGCAACTCTGAATGTTCTAAGTCCCCTTTCTTATGGCAGGCTTTATCAGCTCTCAGTCCAGCACTAAGCTGGACTGCTTGAGTCTGAAATCCTGGTCTACCACTTTCTCCTTATGTCGCCTTAGTTCCCATTTGTCTCAAAGGCTTGCGCTGAAGATTGAGTTGATGCATGTAGCCTGCTTAGAACAATGCTTAGTGCTTGGTCTATGAATATTAATATGATTTATAATGCTTTTACAAAGGCCTCTCAGGGAGGTTCATCTAGTCAACATGTCTTCTTTTGTGTTTCCAGAATCAGAAGCAAGAGCCTTGAAGTGATGGTGGGGCATGACAGGCACAGTTTTTAAGGTTTCATTCCTTTCTGATTACCCTGGTTTAATCGGTTTTACCTTCAGACCGTACCCTCTTGTCCTTATATACTCTCCTGCCAGCTCACTTACATGTTAATTCCTATAATGGAGAACCCAAGCCTTTCATCATACAACTGGAGAATATATTCAAGAGATAAACTCCTGTGACTGAAAGTTATCCAATCATTCATGAATTCTGGTGAGCAAAAACAGGCCACCTTCTTCTCTCATGAAGGGTGCTCTCTAGTAGCAGGCAGACGAATGCATGATCACACAAATAAGGGGGAAATTATAACTGTGGCAAATTTAACAACATGAAATTATAGTAGGTGAAGGAAATATCATTCCTGGCTAAAAGAGCAGCCTGTGTTAAAACGGTGGAGAAAACATGATAAGAAATAGAAGATGGCCAGGTAGGTGAAGTGCAGACAGAAAGAGAAGAAGGGATAGAGACAGTTTGGAAAAGATGAGATGCTATAGCTGTAGGCAGCAGCTAGGCCAAAATATTTCAATCCTTTTTCATCCCCTGAGAACAATGGGAACCACTGAAAGAGTTTGAGCAAAAATGAGGTATCAGATTTTTTCATTTAGACATCATTTTGCCTCTTTTAATCCAGTGTTCATCACACCCATAGTCACCCATTTAAGTGCACAACTGTAGCATCTCCAAATGTCTAAAGTTCTTTTTCAAGTTCCTTTGTGTATGCATTCATTCTTTCACAAGCTATTATTATGAATAGTTATTATTGGCTATTGAGCTCCTGCACTGTGTATGAACACTTTGCTAGACTCACAGCACATGAATACAATTAGTTAGCACATGGTCCATCAGGGAACACAGGATAAAAAGGTAAATTACGATAGTGTGATCATTGGTGGGAGAGAGGGAACTTCAAAACAGAACTGAAAGGAGCCATTTAATCTTGCTTTGGAAGAGGGTAAGCCTCGGGTGAAGTAATATTTGGGTTAGTCTTTTTTTTTTTTTTTTTTTTTCTGAGATGGCGTCTCACTCTGTTGCCCAGGTTGGGGTGCAGTGGCACAGTCTCAGCTCACTGCAACCTCTGTCTCTTGGGTTCAACCAATTCCCCCACCTTAGCGTCCCAAATAGCTGGAATTACGGGCACCCGCCATCATGCCTGGCTAATTTTTGTATTTTTGTAGAGACAGGGTTTCACCATTTTGGCCAGACTGGTCTTGAACTCCTGACCTCAGGTGATCCACCTGCCTTGGCCTCCCAAAGTGCTGGGATTATAGGTGTGAGCCACTACACCTGGCCAGGTTAGTCTTAAAATAATTAATATGAGTTTACCGGGGGAAAAAGTAGAATATATTTATTGTGGAAAAACTTTGAAAATGCAGAAGGAAGTATAAAAGGAACATCAAATCACACACAATCCTTCAACTGAGACCCTATGAAGATTATTAAAATACTGATAAAATGTTTTAAAAGAGTATCCTTTAAATATAGAAAATCCTCAACTTACAAATATATTGTGTTTCAATGCTTCAATAGCTTTTAAGGAAAAAGTTTAGAATTCAGAGTCTGCTCTTCCACAAGAATGACATTATAACTGGACTAAAGATTTTCAGGCCAACCTGTAATAGTTTATTTAAATATATATATAACATTTAAACATATGCACATATAAAAGGCCATAAGATTCATAGATTATCGTATTAGTTTCTATTGCTATGTAACAGATTACTCCAAAACTTAGTGTCTTAAAACAAGCACTTCTTATTTCACAGGTTTTGAACCAGAGTCAGGAATCTGGGCCACAGCCTAGTTCAGGATCTCTTGAAAGTTCATACTACCCTAAATCAGCTTCAGTTCCATTCTTAACATCTTCCTAGAGTTCTTGAGCCTTTTCCTGTTCTGTGCTACCTCATTCTCATTTTTAACCTAGCCTCCAAATAGTATTCCCATTTCTTGAGTGCAAAGGAATCACTGGTACAGGATGGGGCAGAGGATCCATCTGAACAAAGTTACATCAAGAGAGGGATCCCTGGTTGAGTGGCACTATATAGGTCTGATAAATAGATGTCTACTTTATGGAATTGCAGTCAGTCAAACTAATGGAAATAAGAGTTTTCAAATTATTGAGATAAATGTTTAGTGGATTTAGTACCACATGTGAGGTTTTTCATAGGATCATTTTTCATAAGTTGATATTACTGGCACTTTACTTCTGAACCTGGAAATTATCTAAGACATCAGGTCTTCACCCCACTCCCACTCCTCAAATTTTCAGGTGAGCAATATCAGGAACTTCAGCTATTGTATCAAGAACAAACAATGATGGCTTCCTAATCCCTGTTTCTTACCGCTTGGAATGTCAGATATGAGGAAAAAATACTCTAGCACTTTCTTCCACTAACCACAGATAACCACAGATCAAGGAACATTAAAAAGTCATTTTGAAACTTTTACTGGGCAGTTTCCTGGAGACAGAGATTTGGGTGACTTGAAAAAGGTACACTCATAGGGTCTTTTTCTTTGTTCCTCAAGACTTGGGGGTGAACTTTAAAATCAGAAAATAAATAACTTATACATAAATGGGGGTTGTTGGGTGGCAGCTGTGGGTCAAGATTGTTCAAGGAGCAGGTGGCACTATTTTGGTTAACATAACTTAAAACATAATTCTCTGTTTAGGCAAGGATCTCTGTAAATTATGTTGTATTTAGGGGAATGATATCCAGATAAACAGAAGAAACATTTCCTATGAACAGTTGATGCTCGTAGAGTTCATCTAGATAGAGGAATTGTATTGTTATGAATGACCTTCACCAAGAGATAAAGAAATGGATTCTTGTATAAGATTAATTCCTGTGGGGTTGACCTTAGAAGAATGGTGGGGATTTGCACTGTGAATATTTGAAAGAGGAGGCATTTTTGAAAGGAGGGCAGATTCGAGGATAAGGGAAGCAAGGCTGAGAATGGGGATGGAACCTGCCTAGACCTTCTATCAAATGCTTTTGTGTTTTCACTTGGACTATGGAAACAGATATTTTTCTTCTTCTCACTCTCTCATCTTGCAATTCACTTTACTTACTTCTTAAGTCATTTCCGTAGTTGGATCCATTATCATAGCCTTATATACATTATGGAGAATAACATCCAGGGGACTTCCTTTCTTCTCCATCTCCTTCAATGAGGTCATGTGTTACGTGATTCTTTTGTCATAAATTATATTCTGTCACAGTCTGGAATCCACCTGCCCTCCCCATTGTCTTGATGGATTTTCTGAAAAACAAAGAAACAAACATGGTAAAATTTATTCTTTTTGGTGAACAGCTCTATGGGTTTTGACAAATGCATAGATCCATGTGTCTGTCACCACAATTGCATGTAGGATAGCTCCATCAGCCCTGAAATCCACTGGTGCTGCCTCTTCGTAGGCAACTGTTCCTCCTGCTATGGAATGCCTGGAAACCACTGTTCTATTTTTCTTCCTTAGCGTTTTCCTATTCTCAGAGTATCATATAAATTGAATCATATAACATGTATCATTTTGAATCTAGCTTCTTTCACTTACCAAAATGCATGTAAGATTCATCCACATAGGACGGGCTCATGCCTGTAATCCCAGCATTTTGGGAGGCCAAGGTGGGCAGATCACTTAAGGTCAGGCATTAGAGACCAACTTGGCTAACATGGTGAAACCCTGTCTCTACTAAAAATACAAAAATTAGCTGGGTGTGGTGGCGTGCACCTGTAATTCCAGCCACTCAGGAGGCTGAGGCACAAGAATTGCTTGAACCCAGAAGGCAGAGATTGCAGTGAGCCAAAATCATGCCACTGCACTCTAGCCTGGGTGATAGAATGAGACTCTGTCTCAAAAAAAAAAAAAAAAATTAAATTAAAAGAAGATCATCCATGTTGCTTGTGAATCAATAGTCTCTTCCTACTCATTGCTTTATAGTATTATTCCCTTATACAAATCTACCACAGCTTGTTCATCGATTCTCTGGCTGAAGGACATCTGGAACGTTTCCAACTTTTGAAGAATATAAATAAAGCTCCTATAAATGTTCATACAAAGTACATGTTTTTGTAGGAACATAAGTTTTTATGTCTTTTAATTTGATAGCTAGAAGTGGGATTAATGGATCATAGCATAGGTGTATGTTTACCTTTGTAAGAATTGTTGAAGTGTTTCCCAAAGAGACTGTAATATTTTGCATTTCCACCAGCTATGTATGAGTTCTAGTTGGTTTGTACCTTTGTCAGTTCTTGGTATTGCTATTTTTTTTAAAAAATTAACCATTCTAATAGGTATGTAGTAATACATCATGGTAACTTTAATTTGTGTTTGCCTATCATTTATGTTGTTGGGCATCCTTTTGTAGGCTTATTTTCCATACACATGTTTTCTTTGGTTAAATGGTTTAGATCTTTTAACTACTTTTCTTTTCTTTTCTTTTGTTTTTGTTGAGACAAGATCTTGCTCTGTCACTCAGGCTGGAGTGCAGTGGTGTAGTCATAGCTCACTGCAGCCTTGCCCCCCGGGCTCAGTGATCTTTCCACTTCACCCTTCTGAGTAATTGGGACCACAGGTGTGTGCCACCATGCCTGACTAATTTTCTGATTTTTTGTAGAGACAAGGTCTTCACTATGTTGCCCGGTCTGCTCGAATTCCTGGGCTCAAGTGACAGTCTTGTCTTGTCCTCTCACCTTGTCCTCCCAAAGTGCTGGGATTACAAGCATGAGCCACTGGGTCTGGCCACTTTTTTTTTCTTTTTTGAAGACATCAAAGATGACTTTATAAAGATTTCTCACAATTCTATTCTAAATATACAGAATAAAAAATAGTGTCAGTTAAATTGTGAAACAAAACCAGATTTTCTTTATACTGTCTCAAAATTTAAAGATGAGTTTCCCTAGAAGGTGTGCAATGCATCATAAAATGGTTTCATTTTTTTAGGGTGGGAGAAGAAGGACTGGGAAAGATGCATATTAAATTGTACCATGATAGATGTGCAAGACTGTTATCCAATCTAGATAATTTATATACATTTTGGTGACTTAGAAAAACAAACAGGGACTTCTCCAGTTGTACCATGTGGATCTTTTGAAAGTAACAAATAAGGCCTGGTGCAGTGACTCAGACCTGTAATCCCAGCACTTTGGGAGGCCGAGGCGGGCAGATCACTAGGTCGGGAGATCGAGACCATCCTCACTAACACGGTGAAACCCCGTCTCTACTAAAAATACAAAAAATTAGCCGGGCATGGTGGTGGGCATCTGTAGTCCCAGCTACTCGGGAGGCTGAGGCAAGAGAATGGCGTGAACCCGGGAGGCAGAGCTTACAGCCAATTTCTGTTAAGTTTTCTGATGAACAACACATTCCACCTTAATAAAATGCAACATGGATTGAGTTGAAGGCTGCTACCTTAATACGCAAAGAAAAGTATGTAAGTGCAAAATATGAGCTACACTGACTTCAGGAAAAAAAAAAAAAAAAGTCTTTCAAATTGGAAAAGGGACATTTCCTTCCTGTATTGGAGTCCTCCCAATTTAAAGCAGAACCCATCTATTCTAATTTCTGCAACTAAATGCTTACTCTGCTTATTTAGTTTTCTCCTCTGAGTTTAACTGCTGCTGGATTACTTTGGCATCACTTTGTGCCATGGAATTGATGATAGGATGGAGTCACGCACCGTCATAACAACGAAGTTCTTCAACATCCAGGACAACCAGATTTCTCCCATCTGGACTTAAAAAGCAAGGATTAGATAGGAAGAGGATTATAATACAATAGTCAGAGAACTCTTGAAATCCTGTGAACTCTTTTTAGGGGATAAAAACTCTTCCTTCTAAAAACCCCTTAAAGGAGCAAAATCTCTCCCACTAACATATCTGTGTTAAACAAGGAGCTGTAAGTCAGGTGCTGCTTCTAGTAGAAGTGTTAGTCTTCAGAGTGAGGCCAGTTCAGTGGATAATGCAGACTGGTGTGGTA